TGCATGCTCTGACTACAAGCCTATTAACGCGGGTTTCCACAAGGCTGTGTGCTATCACCAACGCTGTTTCTTCTGCATATGAATGAAATGTTGCTAACTGGTAACATTCATTGCTATGCGGATGACAGCACTGGTGATGCTCTATACACCGGCCGTGCCAATATTTCTCAGGAAAACGTCGCTGAGTATCGGAACAAACTTGTGTCTGAAGTCGAGTCTTTGCTGAACAAAGTCTCGGATTGGGGGCGACTAAATCTAGTCCAGTTTAATCCTCAGAAGACACAAGTTTGCGCGTTTACCGCTAAAAAGAACCCCTTTGTCGTATCTCCTCAGTTTCAAGGCACTCCCCGACTTGCCTCAGCCAGTATCGGTATCCTCGGAGTCGATATATCGAGTGACGTGCAGTTTCGTGGTCACTTGGAAGAGAAGGCCAAATTGGCCTTTAAAAAGCTTGGCGTGCTCAGCAGAGCGGGACAGTATTTCATGCCGGCACAACGCCTGCAACTTTACAAGGCGCAGGTTCGGCCTCACATGGAATACTGTTCCCATCTCTGGGCAGGGGCTCCCAAGTGCCAGCTCCTTCCACTTGACCGCATCCAACGCAGAGCGGCTCGAATCGTCGACGACCGAGCCCTTTCCGATCGGCTCGATTCATTGGCACTGCGAAGAGATGTTGCATCCCTTTGCATTTTCTTTCGAATCTACCATGGGGAGTGCTCTGAGTAATTGTTCGGATTAATCCCAGCCGCCAAATTTTACGAACGCACATCGCGGCAGAACTCCCGATACCATCCACACCATCTGGATGATTGGCGGTCCACCACTGTGCGATTTAGAAGATGTTTTCTTCCTCGCACGACTTCCTTGTGGAATCGATTACCATCAGCGATTTTTCCGGACCGATACGACTTAGGGACCTTCAAGAAAAGAGCGTACTCCTTTTTAAAAGGCCGGCAACGCATCTGCAATTCCCTCCCTGGTTTTGCAGTTGTTCATGGGCGGCGGTAGTCACTTATCATTAGGTGAGCCGCATGCTCGTTTGCCCCATCTCCTATAAAAAAAAACGACCCCTGCATCTACGCATATAAATAGCTAACCCCAAGGGTTGAGAGAGATGAGAGTCTTCCAGGCAAATTTTACCATACAGCAGTGCTTCTGCCGTGGTGGAGGTTTGCTTCGCAGAGGACAACATCGACCTCGCCCTCATACAAAAGCCTTGGGTGGCCATCAGTCAAGTTCTGGGATTGTCTGCTACCGGTAAGATCTTAGTCAATACAAAAGGCAGTAGACCCAGAGCTTGTATAATGTACAATAAATATATTGAACTTTTAGTTATTCCAGAGTATTGCATTGACGACCTGGTTACAGCCTTTATAAATCTTAAGGAATGCACAGGGGCCAGAGTAATCATTTGCTCAGCCTATCTTCCCAGAGAGAACCCAGACCCTGCCATCGAGATAGAGCGAGTGGTGGAGATCGCCCGTAAGCACAACGCCGAACTTGTGGTGGGACGTGATGCTAATGCTCACCACACAGCATAGGGAAGCACTCACATCAACGAAAGAGGTGAGTTACTTTTTGACTTTCTCATATTCAATCTCCTGGTAAGCCTAAACTTAGGGTGTACACCAAACTTTGTAACGCGTGCTAGGCAGGAAGTCTTAGATATAACCTTCGTTACCAATAACATATCAAGGCGGATTAATGACTGACATGTTAGTAGTGAAAACTCGATGTCGGATTACAGACGCATTAATTTTGTGATTAGAGCATCATCATCTTATGCTTTTAGGCATCCAAAAGCGACCTCCTGGGATGTCTACAGAGATAGCCTAAGGAGAGATTTGGAAACGTTTCCTAAATGCATAAAAACGATTGAAAGTCCGGAGTTAGCGGCGTACACGGTAACCGTACGTATCCGTGAAGCCTTCGAGGACTTTTGTCCCGTCAAAACCAAGACTTCAACACGAAAAGTTCCTTGGTGGAACACTAAGCTAAAGGAGCTTAGGGCAAAGACCCGGAAACTATTCAATAGGGCTAAAAAACAAAGAATGGGATATTTATAGTGCAGTCCTAAACGATTATAATAAAAAAATTAGGAAAGCTAAGAGAGTATCGTGGAGGAAGCTATGCGAGGAAGTTGAGCCTCGCAGTGCACGACTACACAAAATGCTATCGAATGCTAAACCTAATCAGATCAGGCTTCTTAAAAAGCCTGATTGTAACTTCACTAATAGTGAAACGGAAACACTGGAGCTACTAGCGTCAACCAATTTTCCAGGGTCACGTAAGACTCTAGCCTCGACCTTTTTCAGAGCCCTACGAAGGCCTTGTAATGTGGACTCGTGTAGGGCTGCAAAGATAATAATGCCAAACCTGGTGCAGTAGGCTGTTGACTCCTTTAAACTATATAAGACAAGTGGGGAGGATGGAATAATGCCCATCCATCTACAGAGGGGTATCGATGTCATTCTTCCTTATCTGGTGAAAATCTTCAGAGCAAGTTTTGCATAGGGATATATTCGACGATGGACAATTGAAAAAGTTCTATTTATACCTAAGGCTGGTAGAAAGGACCGCGCTTTACCAAAGTCCTTTAGAACTATAAGCCTTTCTTCCTTTTTTCTTAAGACATTGGAAAAGGTTACAAATAGATATATTAGGGATGTAGCTCCAGCTACGAGACCTATACACTACAACTAGCATGCTTACCGCAGAGGAAAATCTACGGAAATAGCCCTGATCAGTGTTATTGACAGGGTCGAAAAAGCGCTGGAGGATGAAGAAATAGCTCTTTGTGCCATTGATGGCGCCTTCGACAGTAGCCCTACATCACTGCTGGTTGGGGGCCTGACATCTAAAAATGTTGACCCCACAACCATCAGGTGGGTGAAGTCGATGCTCTCAAAAATAGCGCTGTTTACAAACTTCGATTTAGGTTGCAACTACAAGAGGCCGTCCACAAGGAGGAGTTTTGTCACCCCTCTCTTGGATTCTTACGGTTGACCAATTATCGTACAAGATGGCAGACCTTAGCATTGACACACTGGGTTATGCTGATGACCTTGTGATCATTGCGAGGGGCTTTTGCTAAAGTACTTTATCATTAATCATATAAAGGAGCCCTTAACACCATAAACGACTGGTGCAGGGATAACACATAACAGTTTATCAGTTAATGCTGATAAAACTGTTTGTATAGGATTAACGCTCGGGGCGGTTTGAGCTTGCTATCCTATATATTGAGATCCATGCTCGACTCAATTAAGGAAACACCGGTCTTATGCATGATCTCAGATATCATGCGTCCACTATATACTTTTAAAAAAAAGTATACAGTGGTACGAGTACTACCCTCCACAGAAGACTGGCTGATTGGACAAGTCATCTGCGAGGTCGGTAGCCTTATATGGTATACCGATATGTCAAAAAGGGGCTTCGATGTAGGCTTTGGAATGTATGGAGATTTATCTAACCAAATTCAAACCTCAATGAATTTGAGTAGATTCACCCTATCTTCCAGGCAGAAATTTTCGCCATACTTCAGTGAGCAGAAATCAATCTACAAAAACACTACGTTAACTATATAATCTATATTAACTTTGATAGTCAAGCAGCACTGCTTGCGTTGAGATCAAACTTAGTGAACTCGAAGCTAGTTGGAGACGGCGTGAATCGTCTAAACGCCCTGGGAGGTAACAACAGGGCCGTTTTAAGATGAGTTCCGGGTGACGCGGGTATTTTAGGCAATGAAATTCCCGACAACCTTGCACAGGAGGGCTCAAAGAGTACACAATTTTTACCTGAGCCATTTTGTGGAATCTCATAAAGCCTCGCCCGATTGACTTAAGATCTGGTCTGATACACAGGGCTTAAAACATCCTAAAACCTTAATCCGGGCTTTCGATAGTAAATTCGCTTCGGAAGCCCTGGGATTAGGATAGCGCATTCTGGTAAGAGCCCTGATTGGACACTGTTGTCTTAAAAAGCACATATCCATCCTGGGGCTAAGCAACTCAAGGATGTGCCGGTTTTGCTGCCTAGAGGAGTAAACGCCTTTACACATCGTGACAAATTGCGTACCCTTAATGCGCAAACGTAGCACTCATGTGGGAAACCATGTACTTCACCTAGAAGAAGTGAAATTACTCATAGCTAAGCAACTCCTTCTATTCATTGAGGACGTAAGGCTTAGCAGTGAACTATAGACACAGCAGCGATAATAATAGATCTTTTAGGTCGCAGAAATACTGGTCTCTCTATACCTGCGTAGCTGCTCGTACATAATAAATTTTAAAAAAAAAACGCTCTCTGAAGGAGCTTAGTACTTTTTATTAGTTTATGATTAGGAGTAAGAGTAATCTATCTCTATGGGAGTAAGTGTTCTGTGCACAAACTAGTAAGAAGTGCGTTCTGTGGCAGTGACGGAGTTTTAGCGGGAACTTAACCGGTGGCGGTTTGCTGCTCCTGTATTATCGTTTAAATAATGGTTTGAAGTGGATTTTGATATGTAAAAGTTGTGCGATTTTGTGTATTAAGTGTCTGCGTATGTTAACTATTAGTGGAAATGGTGAAACAAGTGCTCTGATGGTGATGTGATTCTCAAGATAAGAGGTCTGGATGCTTAGGCGCTTTCAGATACCATTGCCAACTATCAGCCGTCTGCTGGCTCAAGTTGCCGTCAAAATCTTCTAAATGTGACGCATCAACATATTGTGAAGTAGTACACTATGAAGGATAATTTACATTGTAACTTCAGGCTCAGAAAAGCTAGAACCCAGAGCCGTAAAGCCAGTTATAAAAAGATGTGGCAGTGACACTGACAGCTGACAGTGACAGTAACAGTGACAAATGCAAGTAGTCATCCGTCCGTCATGGCTACCTTGGCTACTTTGTGAAATTGTGAAAGATTTTGAACAATTTTTATAGACTTTTAATAATTTAATTACGCTTGTAAGCGTGTAGGCTTAGGCTACTATTGTTTATTGTATTTTGTAGGTATGTCAGTCAGATTAATAAAATCATTTGTTTGTACCTTGAGACAAAATCTGCCGCGACATCCTATGCTTAGAGCAGGTAGATAAACCCTAAAATAATTACACGTGTTGTTTATCTTACGTTTGTTTGTTTTTCAAAGTTGTCTTATTGAAAAAGATAAATAAATAATGATGTTAAATATTTATAACAGGCGGCGAATAGATTATTATTTCAGAATTTTCTGTTTTATGCAAAATAACCTAACCGGTGTTTATTCGGCCAGTTGTATTAATAAATTATTTAATAATTATTTCAGATAACTTGCGTATAAATAATTGTTGATCTGGCCTTTCGGCACTTCTTAACAAATTCAAAAATCAAAGTTATTAGAAATTGTATTTACACAGTGATTTTAGTTAAATATTTTAAGCTTATCGCAATATTTAAAGTAAAAAAAAAAAAATTAAACGCGCCATCCCGAAGTTGTAATAGTTATAGCTTTTTGATGCACTATTGCATGGTTTTATGTTGTGTTTAAAATAAAACCATTAAAGACAGTGTGGCTCAAAGTTAGACTACTCCTTACTCTAAGTTTTACATGACTCCTGGGTTCTCAAACTGTGCACAAATATTATTCAATGTTGAAATTAAGGCCTTATGCCAAATGACTATTACAAATTAATAGCAGTAGTCCTTTACTAAATAAAATATTTCAAGAAACAATTGTTTTCAAGTTAAGTTGTTTATTGACTGTCCGCATAATGATACATAAGCTTTACATTTAGTAGTCTTAACAAGGACGTAGATGAGTGTGTTTCTATTTTTAGACTTATATTCTCTGTAATAGTCTTTTGTTACAACTTATTTTTTAAGTTAACTTTTCTTCTACCATTATGTTTCAAGGTCAACAAGTAAGGACAATCACAGTTATGGAGACAGCTGCTGAAACAGTGAAGGATGAAAATATTGTTCAAGATAAAAACTCTACACGTTATAAAAAACGGTTCATGAAACGCCAGTGGGAAGATAGCAATCAGGGTAAAAAGGAGAATGGAGAGACTGAAGAGAAGAAACTTTGTGAGAAACCTACAGAACGGATAAAGAGGAAAAAAATGGCTATGCTGCTAGGATACTGTGGTGTAGATTATTATGGCATGCAACGGTAAGACTTGTTATATTATAAGCTGACTTTGTTTGTATAATTAATCTTGCAAATCTAGGACTAGTTTGGTATAATAATCGTTTTTTTAACTTTTTATGTTTCGTTGAGTTTTATCTATGCATGATTCTTTCCCATAAGTAGTGGTTAAGATCAGTGAAGTGGTTTCTACATCTAAAAGTTAATTTAAGAACCATTCATATCTTAGGATATTAGGTAAAATTGTGTAATTTTAGTGAAATACTTGAAGATACCAGAATACATTGCTAGTTGCCAAACTAACTCATAGTCCACATGATGGCAAATGGCCACTGTTTTTGGCTTTTTTTTTAAAACGTTACTCCCTCATTAGGATTTTCTCCTGTATCGTGGAGGCAGTTTACAAACATAATTTGCACATAAACAAACATCCAGACCCGGAGCAATTATTTGCAGGCCATACAAATACTTGTTCCGTGCGGGATTCAAACACGCATCCCCCAGCGCAGCAACTCATTGCTAAGTCACAGAGCCACGGAGCCGTCAAATGCATCCATGTACTCCTGCAGCTTTGTCAGGTGACTTGGAGGTCCATAAATTAAGATGGTATACATTACAGCCTGTAATTATACTGGTTTTCTGTACCCTTCAGCCTGTTCATAACACAGCAATGCAAGCAATGCTATTTGGCACCAGAAATAGGTAAGAGGTAAGAGGATGGTACCTACTCAGACAGAGGCTTACCATCTGTTTTTTTTGTTTTTATAGGATAGGGTAACAAACGAGCACAAAGTCCACCAGATGGTAAGTGGTTGCTGTGGCCCATAGACATCTACACTCATCCTCGTTTGCGAATCAAAATGCAGATGCGTTGTCACCCGTGAGGACTAAGATGGAATGCCTCTTTTCCAGTAAAAACGGTCTCCGGTTCTCTACACTCACCATACGAAACACAGCAGTGTTAAGCTGCTATTTTATGCTGGTATTCTGTGAGAGCGTGGTCCTTCCCCGGTCGAGCCGACACATTCGTGCTACAACTATACTACTAATATAGCTGCAGCATGGCTCTACCACGTATAAAACCTACCTGTTAAGGTAACAAAATTATTTCTCAAAATGAGGTGTCTTCTATAGGAATCCAGGTGTAAGAACAATAGAAGAAGACCTGCTAAAAGCACTATGGGAAGCAAAGTATATAACAGAGGAAGATTTCAATAATCAACAAAATGCACAGTTCCAGAGAAGTTCGAGAACTGACAAAGGAGTTTCCGCAGCACGGCAAGTTGTATCCCTTAAATTACGTAAGTATAAAGTTTGTTTTAGTATGATTTATAGTTGATACAGAAACATGAAATTAAAATGATGAACAAAGATAGTCGTATGCAACATTCCACATTGGGCAGTGGAAAGACATACCCTTAATTGAAATAATATAAGCTAGGCTGTGAGCTCATTTATCAATATAATGTATTTTACTTCTGACCGTGGCTGTCTGTGTAAAAGAAGACAGAGGAAAAATAAGATTGAAGATGGGCAGCAGCATCTTTCTGTTTTTTTGTATGCAAAATGTGTTGTATAATTTCCTTATTTTCAAGTTATCAAATGAAGTTCCTACTATTAAAAACTTTATGTGATAAGTGAATACTTAATGATTTGTTATATTTATGCGAAGACTACACATTAAATGAAACTAATTTTTACGGATTTTATCGCTAATTTAACTTTTTAATTCCCGACGTTTCGGGTTCTTTACAGCACCCATGATCACAGGGGGACTGAGGTGTTTGATGATGTCATAGTTAGCCCCGCTACCTTCAGTTTTTGAATAGTAGTTTTTGGTCCAATCTATGCAGAATGAGCTTTCAGTATCTTGAAGTCTTGCAGTGGTATGCTAGGGTTTGGATTTAATTTTATTAATTATAGAATCGCAAGCAGTTGGCAGTACCCATCCATCTTCTCTATTGAAATTAGGATGTTTTTTAATTACAATAGCCTTGTGAATCAACCTTGGTAGGAATCGGTGTTCTTTCATGAGTATTTGTGGTCTATCAAATCTAATGTAATGGTGGGAACGATCTTGAACATGTTCTCACACTGCAGACTTCCCGGAACATTGGTGCTTCAAGACAGCTATATGTTTTTTTTATGCGGGTTTTTATAGATCTTAAGAAATGAATATTCAAAAACTGAATGTAGCCGGGCTAACTATGACATCGGGACGTCAAACACCTCAGTCCTTCCTCGTGACCAAAGGTGCTGTAAAGCACCCGAAACGTCGGGAATTAAAAAGTTAAAATAAACGCAATAAACTCCGTAAAAATTAGTTTCATTTAAAGTGATAACTTACTGATAACATGTTTCGCGCAGATACAAATTATTCTTAAATATATGTTGAATGTGTGTTTAGTTAATTCCATACCAGTATATTATACTTACCATTGACATGAATTTAGTTATATTTGCAATTAACAGGAAGCTATTAACAACTCAAAATAATAAAAAAAACTGCGGTTGCCAAGTGAGGTAACTATGGGAAAATCCTCCCAATGAGACAATAAAACGTGGTAGAGCCATGCTGCAGCTATATTACTTGTATAGTTGTAGCACGATTGGGTCGGCTCGACCAGGGAAGGATCACACTCCCACAGAATACCAGCGTGAAATAGCAGCTTGATGCTGCTATGTTTCGCATAGTGAGTGTAGAGAACTGGAGACCCATTTTACTGGAAAAGAAGCATTTTATCTTAGTCCTCACGGCTGACAACGCATCTGCATTTTAATTCGCAAATGAAGATAGATGTAGATGTCTATGGGCCACAGCAACCACTTATCATCAGGTGGACTGTGTGCTCGTTTGTTACCCTTATTCTATAAAAAAAATCTGTGGTAGCGGCGTATGTTCAACTGTGGATTTTTATAGCCTGTAATGGGTGGAATGGATTTTAAATCATAAATTCGAAATCCACTAACAGAATATTTTTAACAGATTTATTAACAGACTTATACAATAATCCTTAATTATATCAATTTACTATAATCTTTAATTATAATTACCGTGTAGTGGCAGTGTAAGAATATCCACTACCCCATATTATCCTGTGGGTGTCGTAAAAGGCGACAGAGGGAAACAAATTAGGATATGGGCAGCAGCGTCTTATACTCTACTATACTAGTATACTAATAACAACTAAAACTTATAAACTGAAGTTGTTATCCTCCCTATGATGCAATCTATGGGCGAGGTCTATATTCAGCACTGGACTGCAATTGGCTGTAATGACAACAGTATATAAATGTAAAAAAGTACTTTTATTGATAATTGTTCTTTTTTTAGCTTTGGAAATAGACATAGAAGAAATCAATAAAAGATTACCCGAGTGCATAAAAGTGTTTGGTGTGAAAAGAGTGACTAATAAGTTTAATTCTAAGATTAAATGCAATGCTAGGACATATAGTTACACTCTTCCTACATATGTTTTTGAGCCTAGTCTATCTACAGAGGAAGACAGAAAGTTATATAGGATAACAGAAGAAAAATTGAAAAAAGTCACAGATGTGTTAGCTGTATATAAAGGAACTAAAAGTTATCATAATTTTACAGAGAAAAAGTGAGTATTGTGCATGTATCTTTAACTTTTTGTAATGATTAATAATTGAATGTGCTCAAGGCTGAATTTTGTTTATGGTGACTAGTCTCAATAGAGACTAGCCATCTGCGCGGGAAAGAACAGTGCATGAGTGTGTGTGCAAGCACAGGCACACTCTTGATTACCTTACTCTCATAGTCTAAAGGGACAGAAACCCAACACACCTGGAGAGCAATGGCCTTACTCACTTTTGTAGGAGCTATGGTAAAACACTGCTAACTTTTTGGATCAAGGCATCTACTGAAAATTTCTTGTCAGAAAACCAAATAACTAACTTCATGGGAATGCTCACATACTTCATCTTCTCTATAGTGTTCTCTTTAATCCTTCTTCACTCAAAAGTCGATTTGAGTTTCTTCGTGATTCCCATTCGCGTAACTTGAGATCAGCAGAGTTTGAAATTGAATTTGCCACTATACACTAGAAAATTTATGAACAAGTCTTTTACTGCACAGGCCGTTCATTTATGGAATGAACTCCCATTGTCAGTAAAACGCGCACCATTCCTACCGGTATTTAAATAACTAGTTAAGAATCATTACCTCGCACTTTAAATTCTAACTTCACTTCCACACTAGCCATTAAATATAATATTATATGTAGCATACCAATTTCATTTAGTTAATTAAATAATTCAATATATATGTATTTAATTTTTAGTATATATATATGTGTTTATTTTTTTTTTACCTCTTTTTTTCTCTATCACACCTATTTGCCCTGCCCTTGTCATATTCGTGCAATCCTGTCTATTCATTGGTTGTCTGGAAGAAATTGCTATCAGCAATAAGACCGCCCATTGCATACTTCTTTTATATATATATAATTTCTGTAATTTATGTATGGTGTGCAATAAAGAATGTTAAATAAATAACTGACTTTGGTAAAACCCAGGATATGACACATGAGACACATTATCAGCAGTCGCGCTTATGACCACTAGACCAAGAGGCAGTCAAGTTCCTTATGATTCATAGTTCGAGTGAAACTAAAAAAACAATCATGGATCTGAAGTCTACATTCGACTACTGTTGTGAACCACACTGTAAGCATAACTATTTTATTTTAGAGTGGTTCACAGAAGCTGACTGACTTGCTCATCTAGTAGTCGTAAACGTGATTGCTGATAGTGAGGTCCGTGTGAAGTTGGGCTAAAAATCAAATATTGGATTTTTCTGTCAAGAAATTGGCGGTATTTCGTCCCCTTGCCTCGGTAAGCATGTAAAGCCCGCTTTTCACTATGGGAGATGTAATATATAACATATATTACATCTAGAGATATAAATTAATATTGCTCACCATACATTTCATATGGAATTGTTTACACTGAGCTATAATATATATTACATCTCAAGCTATAAATATTTTTTCGATCGACCGAGCGATATTTTCATATTATATTTCGCCCCCTGTACACCGTTCCGCGCCCCCGCAGAATGGTGTACGGGGTAAAGGGGGGTAATCCAATGACCAATGATGAAAGCAAACTAGTTAAAAGATATATCTCACAGTGTAAAAGCCAATCATTGGATATAATTTATATTTCGGGATATAATATATATTATATCCCATAGTGAAAAGCTAGCCTAAAGGCGTTAGTCCTGCGCCTGATATTTCTCCGGTCGCGTCAGATTCCGTTTCGTCAAACTATGATAGTGAGGGAATAGATTGTGCACCTGTGCTTGCACGTACACATGGGACTAATCCTGACCTAGGCAGATGGTTAGTCTCCGTTGAGACTGTTTGTCGTAACCGAAGTTCGGTCTGTAGGACATTATTACTTAGTACTAATAATAGCATTACTAGTATTTATTTTTATCAAAAAGTAGAACATTTAGGTATGTAATTAGTGTTTGTTTGTTTGTGTTGTGTACAGCCTATCAAAAGCCCACAGCTGAACATGGGCCTCCTCCATAGATTACCAGATGGGAGGGATATTTACCATAGTTGTCACGCTTGGCAAATGCAGGTTTCATATTTATTCAGCAGTTATCAGTGTGCTGCTCACTTTCTGTTTCACATTTCGCTACTTTCGACACCCAGGGGATGAAATGGAGTAGTGGATATTCTTACACCTCCACTACATGTTTTATGTCAGTTCATAGCTAGACCTAAAACATTAGCAAAAAATAAAGAAAATTTTATTGTAGGTCAGTCTGTGCTATCCTTTGAGATGATAACAATGGAATACTGATGATGTTATGGTCAAAATAGACTAGAAGAACAATTTCATCATTGTCATTTATCCAACATGGAACATAGGAGGCTGGATACATGAATCTTAATTACTTATCTTCACGCACAATCCCTGACTGGGTAGCCAGAGAGAACAGATCGCCAAGTGTCACGATCCTTACAAACCTCTTTCGCTTCTTTCAGATTCATTATCTTCTTCATGCATGCATGTCTAGGTATCCGAGTACTCTTGACCCTACCCTCTTCGAGCAATTACCTTATAGCATGTTAGATCTTAAAACAATATTATTGACCTACTTTAGCTTATTATTCACTGGTTTACATTCTATTACTCTTACTTTAATGCAGTTTCAGCCAATTTACTGAATTAAATATTGAAAACTAATTGTTACAGACATTACCAAGATCCATCAGCATCCAGGTATATGATGGGCTTCACTTTAGATAGAGTTTTTGTTGATTCAGAATGGGAGTTTGCAGAGTTGTTAGTAAAGGTATGTAAATTAACAAAATTATATAATACTTAGGTTATGTTAGTTTAGATATTTGGTGGCCCCATTGACGCTTTGCGTCGAGAGTAACGCCAAGAAAAACAGTGGCATCGACAGTGCTCAGTTCTTCCCTATTTAGAAACCCATTGCTGTTTAGATTTTTAACATATTTGGTGTTGTAAATTTTATACATTTAGTTTTATTGCCGTTTAAATGTAGATTATTTGACATGACATACGGCTGAAACTACCCGATGCAATTACCAGCTGAAATAGAAAAAAATATATTAGTGGGACAATTTTCCCTCCAGCTCTGCCTGTAATATTGTTGTCATGGAGGAGTACCTGAAGCAGAAACAGAAACAAAAACAGAAACTTTTTGATTCAATATAGATTATAATTAATACTTATTGAAAGTCTCTCTTTTGTTTAAATACCACTGGTCCCAATAAAAACCTCTGTCCTGGGAAGAATCAGCTAGAAACCCAGCAGGACTTTTTTTTTCAAATAGCAGCTTACAATCATATACAGCCTTAAGGAAACCTTGCTTTTCTGAGGAAAAAAGTAAAGGGACCTTACATAAGCCGTAAGTAGTGGTAGAAATATCAGAATCAGAGTTTTTTGGCCAAGCAAATTCTCACATATCAAAAAATGCAATAATGGGTCGGTTAATGGGGAAGACAATTTTTATCTAGCTCTGCCTGTAATACTGTTGTCATGGAGGAGAACCTGAAGAAATTGGGATCTTACACAAACCGGAAGTAGCTGTAGAACAATCAGAATCGGAGTTTTTTGGTCGGGAAAATTCTTAGATATAAACTCCTCCATGACGACAATATTGGCAGAGCTGGAGAAAAAGTTGTCTTCCCCATTAGCCGGCCTATAATTGCATTTTTTTGTTATCTAACATATTGTTATTTTGATATTTTTGTTTTCGGTTTGACAATTTTTGATATCTAATATCTAAGAATTTGCTCGGCCAAAAACCTCCGATTCAGATTGTTCTACCGTTTGTGTAACATTTCAATTCCTTCAGGTACTCTCCATGGCAGTGCTGGAAAAAAAAATTGTCTGACTAATAATAATTTTTTCTATTTCAGCTAATAATTCCAGTACAGTAGTTTCAGCCACATCATTATTGATTTCGTTATATTTAAATAATTACCATTTAGATTTATAAATCCATGAAGTATCATCAGCAAATAATACTATATCATACAATAAAATATTATAATAATATATGAGCCGGAAAATTATATGTACAAATATTTGTTCTGAGCAGTATTACAAACATTTCAGCAGCAGGTTAATTAAAATTTTGAACGCTGAGTTCCTAGAGTACGTACAGTGTTTGTCGAAACCGCATTTTTATTAATCGCCACATAAAATTTACAGGGTCAAAGTTTTATGCTACACCAAATCAGGAAGATGGTCGGTCTAATGATAGCAATTGTTCGAGGTCATACGGATTTGTCCACATTAGAGAAGGCATTTGGTAAAGATAAGGTGATGATTCCTACTGCCCCTGGTCTCGGCTTGGTTCTGGATAAGGTGAGTGATTCTTTTAAATTATTTTTAATGGCCAGTTCTGTTGTTGGTGATATTTTCTGTTCACTGATTTCAAAAGTCCTAGAATTAAGTAAAGTAGTATACGTAAAAATATAAAGTAACATATGTATATGTCCCATAGCTAGGGGTAAAGCTCTAGTCATTTCTGAGATTGTTTTGTAGTAGGGAAGAGTATGCTACGCTGTCTCAATGCGTATTGGCGAATCTTAGATGTCCTTGATATATTTTTATTTTCTCAGAAAAGCAAGGTTTCCTTAAAATTAAGTTGATGCTTTCTTCACTACTGAGCACTTAGTAAATCAGAACCACGAATCAGTACTTGAAATTTTGATTAATAATGTTAGTTTTGCTGGCGGTAACCAGCTGGGACTTGACTGGAGAAATATTAGATGAAAGAAACGGTATACCTCGGAATGAGAGATAAAAGACTATTAAAGTTGTATAAGTTTTGTTTTGGCAATCCAATGAGTTAACTCAAGTCTCATTATATTATCATTAGAATATGAGAGGGGAGACCCTTTTTACTGGAAAAGAGGTATTCCATCTTAGCCCTCACGGGCGACAACGCATCTGCATTTTGATTCGCAAACGAGGATAAATGTAGATGTCTATGGGCCACAGAAACCACTTACTATCAGGTGGACTGTGTGCTCGTTTGTCACCCTATCCTATAAAAAAAATTTGTACAATGAAAACACATGCCAAACCGGGAGCAAGTCTCTAGCTAATAATACTTTGTTTACTTAAATGTTTATATTTGGTGTAATTAAAATGTAATGGCGGTGTAAGAATATCCACTACTCCATATTGTCACGTGAGTGGTTTAAGAGGCAACAAAAGGAAACTAAAACAGAAGCTGATAAGCTGATAACTAAAAATAAAAGAAATGTGTTAATTCCTCTATGATGCGATCTATGGGGGAGGCCTATGTTCAACAGTGAACCTGTAGTTGATGGAAATTTGTTTTGTTTTTACAGGTACACTATGAGAGATACGACGCTCGATACAAAGACAGCCACGACAGTCTCACCTGGGAGGCGCAAGAAGAGTTGGTTCAAAAGTTCAAGAAGGAAAAAATCAATCCCAATATAGTGAAGGGAGAAATTGAAGGGAACTCAATGGGCTTATGGCTGGAAAAGCTCAGTATGCATAGCTATGAGCCTTCCGAAGATGTGCCCGTCGAAAAAGAGACAGAAAATGGGGAGAAAGAGACAGACGAGGGGGACGATGATGAAGATTGCAACAAGGATGATGATGATGATGATCTTGAAGTGAATGGTGATGATCGAAAGACAGTTGAAGAAAACAAATAGTGATTAGTGTTTATATATACATATGTATATGATGTAATTTTGTAATAATTAATGATGACCATACTGTTATAGTATTACTTAAATGGCAAATGTGGGGCTGGCCCCCTGTTATTTAGCGAGGTCTCTGCCTTGCTCGGTTTAAACTGGGTAAAAAACACCAATTGTTGACTTCAAGTCAGGCTGTGTTTTGATTGTCTCTGGCACCATCTGTCAAGCCTTGGTTACATGTGGATAGGCCTACGCATAGCCCTTCATGTAAAACATTCCAACAAGAACGGATTATATTCCTATATAACTTCGCCGCATATAGGCAGGATCAGGGAATGATTTTTCGTCTCTCGCTGGGATAGCAGACTGTCTATGCTATCTCCTTTTAGTTAATGGTGGTTAGAATAAGTGAGTGCCTTTGTTAGCGCATATATAGGTACCTTTTCAGTTTATGACTTACGATTATTCGTATAATGAGTTGGTTTATAAATAAACAGTGGAAGATTATTTTCATTGACGTGAGTTTCTTTCACTAAACATTTGTACACAACAATAAAAACAGAACATCAACTTACAATCTTACAGAAATGTATTAGAAAAAAAGACTTGATAAATAGCAAATAATATAAACCGACATGATTTTACACATAAATAATTATTCTTGCTAGGGTTCGACACTGGGTCAAAATTCGTAAAATTTTTGTAAAAAGTGTGTAAAAAGCAAGCTGTATTTCACATTCGACTGCACATTTATATATATAACACAAATATCTAATATACCTATATATCATGCGCATATGGCATATCTAGAGTAGTATGATCTTAGTGACCGCCAATACGGTTTTCGCCGAAATCGATCAACTGGGGACCATCTAGCATATGCCATTCACATTTGAGGCGAAGCCCTCGAGAACAGTGGTGCAGCACTTGCTGTTTCCTTCGATGTTTCGAGGGCTTTTGACAGAGTTTAGCACGCTAGTCTATTGGGCAATCTTTCAGCGTACGGCTTAACCCCTGGCCTGATTGACTGGGTGAAGGACTTTCTGTGTAAACGATTTCTCCGAGTCGTCATCGATGGCTGCTCGTCCTGTCCTATCGCGACAAACGCCGGAGTTCCTCAGGGGTCCATTCTCTTTGCAACTCTCTTCCTGCTGCATATAAATGATCTGCTTTTTTGTCAATATTCCACGCATTAGAGCCAAATGGTTTGCTTCGTCTTTTGTAATGCGTAGGGCAAAGTAGTGGAATAATTTTCCGGCGTGTATCTTTCCGTCCGAATACAATCTGGACGTCTTCAAGGCAAGAGTGAATAGGCTTTTGTTACGCTAAGACAGTGCGATTTACTATCTAAGCCTGCATCACCACTTACCACCATCTGGGATTTTGGTGAAGCACTGGATTATAAGTAAAAAAAAAAATCATTTTCAACTCGACTCATTCAACACAACCGCTTTTTACCTTGACACGAATTCCATAGACTATTGAAAAAGGAACATTTCAAATCATACAAAATACACAGCTCATTCAGTCTGTCTGTCAGTAATTACTTGTTGGCAACATTTTAAAATTATTTGGTGACAATCATTACTCTTCCACTGTTTGACCACGGACTACTATACGCCTACATTGGCAATTTGAATATAATTTTTTTTACTTTCTTTCATTTACCTAATGTATGTATGTATGTAAGACATTTTAAATAAACATTTTGGCTTTCTGCACTCCTCCAACAATACAGCACCTCACACTCCTCCGTGCGCACAAATTGCTTAAAAAGGTCTCTTTACATTTACAGTGTAAGGAGGTCTCTTTACATTTTTATCAAAATTGGTTCAGCCGATTAGAAGTTCAGTCACATACACACGGACAGAAGAATTATATAATATAAATATATTATACATATAAAACTTCATCTTGAATCATTTTGTCTATTGATGAAAACCGCACCAAAATCCGGTTGAGGACAGACGACGGGAACGACTTTGTTTTATACTATGTAAAGATATAGATATTAATAAATAGTTTGCAGTACATAATAAACTTTAAATACGGAAGGCATATAATTTTATTTACTTCACTATCATGTATTTTAAGACAAAAACTAGCTAGAGTAATCTTAAATTATGATCACAAATTATTAAGCAATATTTAGGCATTATTCCAGTCTTAAATGAGAGACGAACCCAGCGTGTCGAACCACTGCTAGTATACAGCCTAGTCCACTAGCATTGTTCACGTTTAGACTCCGCAAGGTTTTAAGAACCTTGTTGGTGATAAGGACCTCTCGATATAGAGGTACCGCAGTGAGGTAACGCTAGGACGCACGTCAAGAGTTAAGATGTTTTTTTACTGTCTAGACGCGAACTGCAAGCAAAAAGAGATGTAAACATGTCCGCGTTCTCCTTTACCTCATGCGTCAGTGAGCCATCTGGTTTTACCTGCGGAGGCAGTGTAGACCGGCAGAAGTTTGTCTCGACCGCTTTGGCGAGAGACCAAAATGCTCTAATGCGACGAACATGGTGGTGACATTCTAGGATTTTTCGTAAGATGGCAAAGTACCCTTTAGGAGTGGCTGGCTAAAATCCAAAAAGTAGCGATATTTAGACATAGCAACATAAGAACCAATTAAAAATAATAAGTATGTATACAAATAAAAAACTCGTACCTACCTCGTAAATCAAGTTACACGACACGGGGTAAGGTTAAGACACCCGACTTGCTCGCGTAAAATTCACAGCGTAGATATTACCTTATAACACAACCGATCCCTCAAAACGACAAGTGCCGACTTAGGTGTGGTACGTAACAAAATGGCGGTCTTATGAATGTTGCCTGCATTGGATAAATTATACAAAATCTGTCTTTACTGATGCCTTTTTGTCTTACCCCGTTTTTCATCTTCCCCACTCACCTTGTTCAATTCTTTTAGATTAAAATAAAAAAAAAATATTTATTTTATTAAAAAATATATTTTAACCGGATGCGCGACGTAAGCTAATCTGCTACTTCTCGAAAAATTTAAACAATATATTCAAGAAAAAAATATGTATTGGACAATCTTAGAATATTCCACACGGAAAGGTGGAGCATAAACATAATAACCATCTCATTTATATGCCAGATTTCAATGATCTAAAAATAATATTTTATTTATTTATACATAGAATAAGAGTGAAAAACAAAAACACAGTCCACCTTCACCTTATACCATCGAGACGAGAGAGGTGTGTTAAATGGAAATCTGTAGTCTGCCTACCCCTCTGGGTGACAGACATAGTGTAAGTTTTTCATTTCTTACGTGGTAGAGCCATGCTGCAGCATGGCTACCACGTAAGAAGTAGTAGGTATAGTTGTAGCACGAATGGGTCGGTTCGACCGGGGAAGGACCACGCTCTCACAGAATACCAGCGTAAAATAGCAGCTTAACGCTGCTGTGTTTCGTATGGCGAATGTAGAGAACCGGAGATAGTTTTTACTGGAAATAAGGCATTCCGTCTTAGTCCTCACGGGTGACAACGCATCTGCATTTTGATTCGTAATCGAGAATAGATGTAGATGTCTATGGGCCGCAGCAACCACTTACCATCATGTGGACTGTGTGCTCGTTTGTCACCCTCATCCTATAAAAAAAAGTTATGTTATGCGTTAGAAGCCTTTTCCAACAGTGGATTTTTGCAATATCAAGAAAATTATAAGGAAAATTAAGGGATAGGGATTCAATGTATGACAGCAGAACTCTACGAAGTGTACCCCATGATAAAAAAAACAAATGCTATTTTCTAAAACTTTATTAGTGTCAAACATTAGCTTCTAAGCTTGCGATTGCCATCTTTAATGCACCTTCCCTTGATACATTGCCAGCAATAAAGCCCGTGCTATGACAGAAAATGCACCCCTCAATACCGGTAACGTCGCTCAACATCTCGTCTCTGACACCCCTCCATTCTTTAAGTAATGGTTTCCTAAAAGAAAAAAAAACATTAATATTACTACATTCCGTAGATAAAACTCATTTTAAAAAAATACGCGTGACTAACGAGCACAGTCCACCTGTAAAATTCAATCGACCTGATAAAATTTAGTAATACTAATAATAATAACTATGTTTACTGATTATAAAACATTTACATAGTTTATTAAGAGTGTTCCGATATACACTGCAAACACTGCTCGGTGTTCTCACTAGTGAAAGATTCTTTCCGTTATCGACTGCCAGTATACTGCCGCAGTATGACATTACATTTTTGTACTGTGAGCGCTTTCGGGGTAAGGTGCTCTCATTACTTTGATCACGTCATCAAACTACATAACAGCGCCTAGTGATTTAACAGCTTCCACGAATGATTGTTATTATTAGGTCCTTACATATGAAATTAGCGTTTTGTCGTAATGACCACTTTGATCTGAAATATCTCCTCTTTGGTTAAGAATTCCAAATTCAAATTTATAAATTCATTTAGCTGGTACATTTGAGTTTTGAAAACAGTCATTCATTTGTTTTTTCCTCATTATTTTTTTCTTTAGCGTCACTTATTACCGCACAATGGAAAACATGAAATATCGGTATATTTACGAGTACGAGTTCTACCATGGCACCAGTGCTGCAGTAACAGCTCGAAGGATTAATGATGTGTACAGTGCTGGTGTCGCAAAAGAAAGCACGGTACGTTTTTGGTGGAAAAATGGAGATAACAGTATACTGGACTGCATTCCTTTTCAAACCGTAACCAGTATAGAAAACTAAAAAAGAATGGCTTCACAGTATACTGAATTGACGACACATTTTACGGTGATCACAGTGTATATCGGAACACACCCTAAATATCATAGTGATCTGATCATAAAAATAATATATATAATAAAGTGTAATAAAGTATAATAAAGTGCTGTGTCCCTTCAACCCTGGACAAGCTGGGCCCTATCAATCACAAAATACTTGAAATGTGGAGGACTTGTAAAATATAATAAAAAAAATGAGATTGTCTATTGATTGACAGACTGAGATGATTTTGATTCCTTCCCCTTGACTGTATCCAGTGCAGAGGCTCGGATCGTCGACGAACGAGTTCTTTCGGATCGACTTGACTCACTAGCGCTGCAAAGAGATATTGTATCCCTTTGCATATTCACATCTACCACGGGATGTTTAGTGGAATGTTTGGGCTAATCCCAGTCGCCAACTGCTGAACTTTGAGGAGATCTCATGGCTCGAATAATTACGATATTCTTGCGCAAAGTGTACGCTTAGACATAGAGTTTTTTTTATTTGGATTGCCAACATAAGAAATGCATGCGTTAACAAAAAGTTAACAAATTTAATAAAAATATATTAATAAAAAATGAAACGAAGAGAAATAAAAGCTGATTTGTACAACCATAGTTTAACGTCAACATGCTTAAGTTTGGTAATAAATTGAGTGAGGGTATCATGGTAAAGGTCAAGGTCGGGTATATGTTTGGTGAGGTTGTTGCACTGAGGAGTCACGACCCAAGTTTCTAAAGAGAGTTTTGTAGAACTTTTGTTGAGTTCCAAAAAATAGCCCGTCGTAAACTAAACCAAACTTCAATTAAAATAAATTTCACCATCACAGATCGCGACATAATTCGCGATACCATTCATGCCATCTGAATGATCAGCGGTCCATCACTGAGTGATTTACTAGAAGTTTTCTTCCTTGCACAACTTCAAAAGAAAAAAAGGACTTACTCTTATTTTAAAGGCCGGCAACACACATGCAATAACTCTGGTGTTGCAGTTGTTCATAGGCGGCGCAGGACATTATTATGAATACATGATTTGATGATATAGTGATTTCTTATATTTACGCGAACACTACACATTTAAATGAAAATTATTAATTTTTTTTTTAATTATTTTTTTTTATTAATTTTTGTTCGTTCGTCGGAACAAAAATTAATAAAAAAAAATTAATAATTTTTAATCTGGAGGTAGCCGTGGTTAACTATGACATTGGGACGTCATACACCTCAGTCCCCCCCGTGACCATGGGTGCTGTAAAGTGCTTGAAACGTCGGGAATGTAAAATAAGTTAATATACGCGATAAAATCCGTAAAATTAGTTTCATTTAAATGATTTGATGATTTTGTTAAATAAATAAATTAAAATGAACTAAAATTTTAATTTATTAACGAAAACAGGGCCCTGAGAAGTTTTAAGGGCATAAAATTCAGTGTGGAACCCCATTGCGTGATGGCGGACTTCACATGTCGTCAATTGTTGTTTTAAATTATAATATTTCTTCATGCTATTCAATAACAATTTCAAGCAAACAATGAAACAATTCGGATATTACACAGGAGTGCTTACACTCTGGGCTACTAGGGCTCTTGACTTACCATCATGACTTGCCTTCATGATCATCATATATCAGCCCATATAAGTTTACCGTTAGACATGAGCCTTTCCCATATTGGAAGTATTTGCCTTAATCGTCACGTTTGGCAAGCTTGGCAAGATTGACGAGCGTGCAGCATTGACGAGCGTGCAGCATTGACGCTTGACCATCCGAGTATTTTACGTCTGGCATAACTGAGATGATTTTAGAACTTTAACAAACATTTATTTACCATAGATGTTACGGACAGTCCCCTGTGCAGGACATGCATGGGGGAGGAAGAAACGGCGGCCCACGTGTTGCTGACGTGTCCGGAAGTCGCTGTATACTGGGCTAAACATCTCGACACACCGGGATCACCCCCCGAAGTTGCTTGCAACATCAAAGGACCGTTGAACTTCTTCGGGGAGATTTCATGGCTCGAATAAATACATTATTCCTGCCCACACGCAAAATACGCGCTTAGACGTGGAGTTGCGGAAAACAGCCCGTTTATTCAATTCAATTCAAAACTGAGATGGTACTGAAATCTATCAGAAGCCATAAGATTTGTCTGGGATTTCCCAAAGTCGCCTCTTATGACACCTACGAAATGGGGAGTTAAATTTTTTTACACCACTACCACAACTTACCTTAACACAAAGCTAATGGGATCAATGGGCACCGCATGTACTCTCCATGATTTTGGCTTGTCATTGTAGATCACATATTTGATTTCATGTCCAATGCCCATTTCCATCTCCAAATCAAACAAATGCTCCTTCCAGGGGAATCTTTCCGTAAACTCCAATATCTGTCCTGAACTATGCACCTCGAATCTTCTTTCCAAAGCAGATTTAACGAAATCCCTTGCTGGCAACCAAACTGATATGGAATAATTGACCGTATAAAGAAATTCTTTCAAAACCATGTCCATTGCTTGTTTAAAAATCTCGTCTATATCAATTGTTTGTTTACTATTCCATTCTGGATTTAATCTAGCAACTTGTGCACTTAAGTGTGTACGTATTTTGTACTGCGGCTCTTCTTTAGTCATTGGAACACCATTGTCTATGGCATCTATCTCCTCTATTAAGTTTTCATAAACCTTTTTATAAATTACTTTCAGATTCTCATCAGTTAATGGTGCATCCTTAGGTTCAACAGTGCGAATGACTCTTTCACCATAGTAAGCATACACAAGACCTGCAGAGCTGAGTCTGAAATCAAATTCAAAGAAAAATTAATATAACAGGAACTTACTTGTGAAAACTAATTTCCAAAGCTCTAATTAACTTATTATATTATTTATTAACTTACTAAGATTTTTGATATGGTAACTTTAGTGTGAACAATAACTTTTCAATAAAATATATATATCCTATATTACAGGGCTTAGCATATTATAGTAAAAGTGAGAAGTTACATATAGTAGTGACAAAAGTGCGAGACGCCAGACGTCCAGTACTGTGATCGCCAATGCTACCCGTCTAGTGGCGATTAAGACACATCTTTCCAAAATAAAAGAGGCCCATTTCCAGCAGTGGACTTACGGGTTGATTAAGAAGAACAAGATGGAATAATAGATGATTTTATATAAATTACTCTTTAGTTATAATTATTATTATATTATTTTTACAAATAGCTTCTAAAGTCAAGGCTTTATTTCTTTTATACACTACCGTAAAACCAACTTCACAAGCTATTACGTGGAAATTCAGCTTTTAATATTTATTGAAAGTTTATTACTGATCACAAAATTTTTAATATTATTATTTAACAGGTCAGCAGTTGAATCAACTGACATAAGCCCGTATCCTAGTTTCCAAATGTGTTATTCTATTTTAGTTGTTTATTTAATCTGTTAATTATATAATAGTTTGTGAAGATAGCACTTCTGATGGTAGCTAAGTCAAGTATTTAACATAGTGTGATAAAACATCTCCATGGGCTGCAATAGGCATTTACCTATAAGACTGGTAGTTCATTTGTCATTATAATATTACGAGGGCGGCACTGAAAATTTCGGGAATCAAGGAAGTGACACAACATTACTATTTAAAAATATATTTATTGCTTTTCGAAATTTGACACATTTTTCCATACGATGGAACCAATCATTGAAGCAACCATTCCATTCGGAAGTTGGGGTCTCCAAAATGGCCGTTTTGTAGGCGTCCACAGCTTCTTCAGGTGATGAAAATCTCTGTCCACGCAATTTATTCTTTATTTTAGGGAAAGTATAGAAATCATTAGGACTTAGGTCGGGGCTGTACAGCGGATGGTCTAATAATTCTATGTTTTCTTGCTCTAAAAACTCTTTTGTTCTATGTGCGGTGTGAGAACTCGCATTGTCGTGATGGAGGATGATGCGGCGGTTGCAGTTCTCTTTACGGAGTTCAGAAACAACCTGTGGCAAACAAATGCTAGCATACCATTCTGCGTTAACCGTTCTTTGTCCCTCAAGAGGAATAATCGTAACATGGCCGGTTTTGGAAACAAACGTGGCCACAATTTTTTTTTGCAACACTCCTTGAACGAACAATTTTTGTTTATTTAACTCATTTTCGAACACCCAAACTCGTGACTGGTTTTTTGTTTCGGGTTCGTACGCGCATATCCAGGATTCGTCACCTGATACGATATTGTATACAGCATTTGAGGATCCTGCGTGGAATCTTTCGAGAGTTCTGACGCACCAAGTAACGCGAGTCGCTTTTTGCTCTTCACAGAGCGAATGCGGTATCCATCGGGAAAAAAACTTTTTTACACCTAATTGTTCATGCAAGATTATTTGTATTTGACTCATGTCAATGTCTAAAGTTGCCTGAATTTCGCGGAATGTCACGTGTCGATCTTCCTCAATCAGCTTACGCACAGCATCAACGTTTTCTTGGGTGACTGCAGTTTTTGGACGACCTTGACTGGGATCATCACTGAGCTTGACACGTCCACATTGAAATTCAGTAAATAAGCGATAAATTGTGGTTTTCGATGGGGCTTCATCAACAAATGCAGAAATCATGTGGGCAACACACTGTTTTTGTGTTAAACCACTTCGAAAGTCATAATAAATCATCGCTCTTGAATTTTCTCGAGTCAATTCCATTTTCTCAACAACTACAAGTTTGACAAAACCTTGTGACAAGACCGAGAATCTTTTTTTAAATAAATAAATGGTATTCGATTTCGATTCGATAACCAAGGAGTTTTCAATTAAAAAGATTTTAATATGACAGGAACAGTGGAAATATTCCATTCCCGATACTTTTAGTGCAGCCTATGTATGAATACAGGATTTCCAATCAACATTTAAAATACCAATAGAAGGAAAATAATATCAGTTGACTATTAGAGCACTGAATATTTTTAGCCATTTGTTTTACTAATTTGGTTACATTTACTAGAACCCTATTAGTTACTTCAAAATAAGTCTTTTCATTTTATATTATTCTAAGTACCTAGGTGAGCTTGCTTATATATTATCTCAGAAAAAAAAACCTATGTAAATAATCTTGGGAAGGAAAACATTATCTTGATAAAAAATTTCATCTAATTCGCTGGCATTGTTTCCAAAATCAAATGGGGTAGGACCACGCTCTCACAGAATACCAGAGTAAAATAGCAGCTTAATATGCTACTGTGTTTCGTACGGTGAGTGCAGAGAACCGGAGACTTTTTACTGGAAACGAGGCATTCTATCTTAGTCCTCAGAGGTGGAAACGTATCTACATTTTGATTCTTAACTGAGAATAAATGTAGATGGCTGGGCCACAGCATCCACTTAACATCAGGTGGTTTGTGTGCTCGTTTGCCATCCTTCAAAAAAAAAACAAATAACATGCATACAAAATCTATGATGGACTATGTTTAGCAGTGGACTTTGATGGGCTTTAATTATGATAACAATCATATATATACACATTTCCATGGGCTGCTCGCTTGCAGTATAGGATAAAGAAACTTACTTGATTTTATACTTATCTCCCAATTCTGGTTTCAATGTGCTTAAAGTTTCATTGAACTCTCGTTGGTGATGATCATAACGCTTTTTGGTGTGATCAAAAACGGCGCCAACGTCAACAACTATGTCACAATCATTTAACTTCGTCATATCTCTGGTCCGAATTATGTCAGCATCTTTATACTCAGGAAGCCGTTTAAGCATACAGCAAGCAAGAACGTCATCACAATGAAAAACACCATTATGAGTACCGATCTGCAAAAAAGAAAAAACATATTATAATCACTTCATTCACAGGAATGAAAGTAAATATTTTTTTATAGGATAATGGTGACAAACTAACACACAGTCCACCTGATGGTAAGTGGTTGCCGTGGCCCATAGACATCTACAATTATCCTTATACATCAACTATACCAGAAATATAAAGATAGTATACCAGATAGTATAACAAAAAATATTTTTTTCCTAGTTTGTACACTACCAATAAATTCAGCCAGTGTCAATTAATGAAGGTAAGTCACACAACGTCAGAATAACTTTTGCTATGAAGTATCCGTAGATGGGGTGATGGGTACTCTTTGTTACAAAGATAAAAGTTATTTTCAGACGAATTTAAATAGTTTTAGAAGATTATCTAAGCAAGTATAACATAACTTAAAAAAATTTAAAACCCCCGAAACAAAATGATGATCTTCAAATAGCTGAACAGATTTTCTTGAAACATAGAAAAAAACTTAATTAAAATTATTTCATCTGTTCAGAAGCTATGACACCACAGACAGACACACAGATACACACTGCAAACATATAACATCCCTCTGTTTTCATCGGGGGTTAAAAATGGACCTAAATGGCAAAAATGTGATGACCGTATTTTACAAATGCCTGTTTTAAAAAAAATTCATTCCACCTTTTATGTCAAAGCAATCAGATACAAAAACTCCCTTCCCTTAACTATTAAGAAGCTGTTTCTTTCAAAAACTGATTAAATATTAATATTTAAATAAATGTTACATTCTACATAATATATATTTTATTTACTTCTCATGATTAAGTTTGTGTATATAATCAGTATATTCATATATTATATATCTATACTTTTATATTAGCCGTGATAGCTAGCAAGGGCTATGCACTCTCTGCAAATTTCACAGTACACGAGAAACCCAGGTTCGATCCCAGCCGGCTTCAATGAAATTGTTAATTGCTATTTTTACTGTTGATTTACCATGTGCTCGGTTGTGAAGCAAAACATTGTGAAGAAATGTGCATGCTGAGAAATTAGATTTATGCATAATATTTTCCTATAGACTTAAATTTTTTTCCAGAGGGAATTGCAATGTTACATTTGATGGACCTTCACAAGAGAAATAAGGGCATGAGGGTTAGTTGTAAAATGCATTAGGATCCTGGAAGGAGATGTTTGATTTGCCAAGGTACCTACCTATCAGTACATTTTAATGTCACATAATATGCTACTATAACTTGGTAAAGCCAAGCAAGCTTTGAATTAATACCTTGACAAAAACACAGTGCATCTTTTATTTTAAAAATAATAAGGGACATAGATTTTTTTCAAAATAGGTTATATTATTTTTGTAGTGAACTATAAGTCTATAAATTTTATTTAGTGCACTTCTATGAAGATAGTTGCTTCTAAACAACAATGACTGCTTCACCAATAAAAACTTAAGTGGCACTGGATTTTTGAAATTTAGAGTAGTTTTACATTTTGGTATCTAGACAGCTGTACCTACAAGCTATCGTCATTAATTTTGTAAGTGTCAATAAAAAGAATCAACCACCCATTACATTTCTATCATAGTATAATATAAGACATTTTTACTGAGGCTTATGAGAATTTCTAGTCATACCAAAGCCTAAAATAACTAGTGATTAATAACACAGAACTTCAACCAGATATTCTAACAGAAGGTTAATTATATTTTGGAATATGGAAAATTAAAAGGTCGACACAAATGAGTCCAGTAGCTAGTGTTCTTAACATGAGAGGTTAAGAATGCAGTTTAGAATGAAGTGGGTGGCAATAACTTATTTTAGGTATTATTCATTTAAACTTTTAGCAAATGAGATATAAATCTGTATATTTAAGGATAGTCCCAAAATGTAGTTTAACTTATTACAAAAAATCAACAAACGATTATAAAACTACTGAGAATATGTTTCTTTAACCACGTTTGAATTTTATTAATTAACACAATTTGTCAAACACATCATTTGAGAATAAATAATATATAAGCAATATTTTAATAAACATAATATCAGATAATTTGAGATAGAATTATTATTGAATTCGACGTTAACCTCAAAAAGCAAAGTAATATAAATTACTCACCTTCATATTGTTTATATGATTGTAGAGACGTTTGTTACTAAAACAACTTGATTTTGCCAATTTAAAATAAAAAATACTACCAATATTATTATGTATAACTCTCTTAATCATAATTTACTAGCATTTTTAAATAAACATAACCTAACCTAACCTATATTCACGAAAAAAGTAAACGTCAATAATATTTTTTAAACTGGCTTTACGGCTCTGGGTTCTAGCCTTTCTGAGCCTGAAATTACAATGTATAATAATTATCCTCCATAGTACACTGCTTCACAACATGTTAATGCGTCACATTGTGCAGCCTTTGGGAGATTTTGAGGGCAACTTCAGCCAGCAGACACCTGACAGTTAGTGATGGTATCTCAAGGCGCCTAAGCAGACAGACACCTTAACTTAAGGATCACATCACCATCAGAACACTTGTTTCACCGTTTAGTTCACTTGCGCAGACACTTAATACACAAAATCGTACCAATTTTACATATCAAAATCCACTTCAAACCATTCACAATACAGGAGCAGCAATCCGCTGCCGGTCAAGTTCCTGCCAAAATTATTTTTTTTAAAGTAGAGGGGGCAAACGAGCATATGGCTCGTCTGATGGCAAGCGACTACCACCGCTCATGAACAACTGCAACACCAAGGGAATTGCAGGTGCGTTACCGGCCTTTTAAAAAAGGTGTAAGCTCTTTTCTTGAAGGTCTCTAAGTCGTATCGGTCCGGAAAAATCGCCGGTGGTAAATTATTCCATAGGGAGGACGTACGCGGAAATAAACTCCTAGTGAAACGTACAGTGGTGGATACCACCAAGCATCCAGATGGTGTGGATGATATCGAGAGTTTTGCCCCAATGTGCGTTCGTAAAATTTGGCGGCTGGGATTAATCCGAACAATTCCTCAGAGCACTCCCCGTGGTAAATGCAAAAGAAAATGCAAGGGGATGCAACATCTCTTCGCAGTGCCAGTGAATCGAGCTGGTCGGTAAGGACTCGGTCGTTGACGGTTCAAACCGCTCTGTGCTGAATGCGGTCAAGTGGAAGGAGCTGGCACTGGGGAGCCCCAGTCCAGAGATGTGAACAGTATTCCATGTGAGGCCGAACCTGCGCCTTATAAAGTAGCAGGCGGTGTGCTGGCATGAAATACTGTCCCGCTCTCCTTAGCACGCCAAGCTTTTTAGAGACCAATTTTGCCTTCTCTTCCAAGTGACCACGAAACTGCACGTCACTCGATATGTCGACGCCGAGGATTCCGATACTGTCTGAGGCAACAAGGGGAGTGCCTTGAAACTGAGGAGATACGACAAAGGGGTTCTTTTTAGCGGTAAACGTGCAAATTTGTGTCTTCTGATGATTAAACTGGACTAGATTTAGTCGCCCCCAATCCGAGACTTTGTTCAGCAAAGACTCAATTTCCGACGTTCAGCAACGTTTTCCCGAGAAATATTAGCACGGCCGGTGTACAGAGCATCACCATTGCTGTCATCCGCATAGCAATGAATGTTACCGCTTCGCAACATATCATTGATATGCAGAAGAAACAGCGTTGGTGATAGCACGCAGCCTTGTGGAACACCGGCTTGTAGTCGGAACATGCACCGTTTACAACGACCTTGATGCTCCGATCTGCAAGAAAGCTGGTGATCCAGTTGTACAATTTATCGAGAAGCCACTCACACCGTGGGATGGTACCTTGCGTATCACCAGCTTATTAGTGACCGTCAGTACGGTTTCCGTAGCGGTCGATTGCCTGGTGTGGTGATCTTCTGTGCTACCTAACTCGTAAATGGACGGAGGCAGTAGAGTCCAAGGGGGAGGCGTTGGCCGTTAGTTTGGATATAGCGAAGGCCTTCGATCGGGTTTGGCACAAAGCGCTTCATACGAAGCTTCCTTCCTATGGGCTTCCCGAGAAATTGTGCAAATGGATCACCAGTTTCCTTGCTGATCGGAGCATTGAGGTCGTAGTCGACGGTGCAAGCTCTGATTTCAAGCCCATCAACGCAGGTATTCCACAAGGCTGCATGCTATCTCCAACGCTGTTTCTTCTGCATATCAATGATATGTTGCAGACCAGTAACATTCATTGCTATGCGAACGACAGCACTGGTGATGTTCTATACACCGGCCGTGCCAATATTTCTCGGGAAAACGTCGCCGAGTACCGGAACAAACTTGTGTCTGAAGTCGAGACTTTGTTAAACAAAGTCTCAGACTGGGGTCGACTAAATCTAGTCCAGTTCTATCCCCAGAAGACACAAGTTTGCGCGTTAACCGCTAAAATGCCGCTATGCCAATATTTTTCGGGATAACGTCAACGAATACTTAGTTGAACAAAGTCTTGGACTGGGGGCGACTAAATTTAGTCTAGTTCAATCCCCAGAAGACACAAGTTTGCGCATTTAACGCTAAAAAGAACGTCTTCATCGTATTTCCTCTGTTTCAAAGCACTCGGAATCGGCTGCTTCCAAGCCGTTGTTGCCTCAGCCAGTATCGGAATCCTCATTTTAGTTTTGTTACATTAGTTACAGTTACATGCAGTTTCGTAGTCACTTGGAAAAGAAGGCCAAATTGATCTCTAAAAAGTTTGGCGTGCTCAGCAGAGCGGGACAGTATATCATGCCGGCACACCACCTGCAACTTTACAAGGTGCAGGTTCAGCCGCACATGGAATACTGTTCCCATCTCTGGGCCTGCGCTCCCCAGTGCCAGCTCCTTCCATTTGATCGCATCCACCGCAGAGCTATTCGAATCGTCGGCGACCGAACCGACCGAATTCTTTCCGATCAGCATGACTCACTGACACTACGAAGAGATGTTGCATCTCTTTGCGTATTTTATCGCATTTACCACGGGGAAAGCTCTGAGGAATTGTTCGGACTAGTTCCAGCCGCACAATTTTACCATCGCACATCGCGACAAAACCATCCATACCATCTGGATGACGGGCGGTTCACCACTGTCAGATTCAAAAGAAGTTTTCTTTTTCGCACAACTTCCTTGTGCAATCGACTACCACCAGAGATTTCTCTGAACCGATACGACTTAGGGACCTTCAAGAAAAGAGCGTACTCCTTTTTAAAAGGCCGGCAACGCATCTGCAATTCCCTTGGTGTTGCAGTTGTTCATGGGCGGCGTTTATCACTTATCATCAGGTGAGCCGTATTCTCGTTTGCCCCTTTCCTATAAAAAAAAATAACATGAACTAGTACTGCTATTATATATATATAGTACTGTAATCTGTGATTACAGCTGTTGGTACCCATAGACATAGAGAGAATGCATTGAGCGTTAGCATAATAGTTATAGACTCAATTCAGGTGAACTAATTAAGCCAATGGATGAACACAGTACATACGAATACTTAGGTTTTAAACAGTCCAGACGAATTCAACAAAATATTACACAAAACAAGAACTGCTTAAAAAATTCTCGCATCACCTCAACCTTATCTTAAAAACCAACCTCAACTCTACAAACACTATTAAAGCCATTGAGGCCGGTGGAAGGAAAAGTAGAGATCTCCCGCCGGGCAAGGTGTTCTGCCCGGGGAGCGACCTATGCTACAAGTTGTAGTTCGGGGCTATTCTATATATGCTTCGAGGAGTTTCGCTTGTGGCGCGACGACAGCGCCGCCACATCACCCCCCTGCTCAGACCGGAGGTCGATAGTGCAGTCTGTATTGCCGGTGCGATCGATCTAAATGCCGGTGGGGTATGCATGCGTAAGGGCGAGTGACGCCGGTGCGAACGATATGCCGGTGTGTAATGCATGCCATACTACGCACTTGCAAGTGATGACGGTGAGAACGATGAGCCGGAGCAAGTGCCAGGGATTGCCCTGTAGTCTGCGGTGAGTCAAGAAGAAGGCAAGTAATCTGCGAGAGTGCTGTGAAGCAGAGGCGAGCAGTAAGGCTCAGAGCCGTGACGAACACTGTAGCGCAGAGAGTAGCTTGAAGGAACAGGAAGCATTATTATTCCAGTGCTGCGATGAACCTTTGGAAAGCTAGATAGCTTGAAGAACTTGAAGACTGCAGACTATATCCGCTCGGGAGCGAATGAATGGGGTACTTGAGGATGATGAAGGTTTGAAGGTGTGGTTTGAAGGTCCGAAGGTTTGTTGGTTGCGTGTTCATATCTCGTCGGTTGGTTACCACTATGGCAGGTGGAAGGAAAAGTGGAGATTTTCCGCCGGGCAAGGTGTTCTGCCCGGGGAGTGGCTAACGCTCCGAGTGGTAGTTCGGAGCTATTCTATTTATTCTCCTATAATTTCGGAACTTTGTTAGCGCGACTTAGGCTTGGATGTGTTTCGCTTGTGGCGCGACGACAGCGCCGCCACACCATCAACGTATTTGCAATGGCTATTCTCACATACTCTTTCGGAATTATACTATGGTCAAAAACTGACATCAAAAACTACAACGCACACTCAATACACTTCTAACTAAACACAGAAAAAATCATCCAAAATCATACATACTGAGACTTACACTACCACGCCAAGAAGGGGGAAGAGGACTGATAGATATACACAATTTACACAACAAACAAATACTTTCGCTCAGAGCGTACTTCCATAACAAATCAGAACACTCATCTTTACACAAACACATAACGGAAACGGACAAAAAACTTACACCACTTAACTTACAGAACAGAAGCACGCAATTTTATGAACACATTATGGGAACGCAACAAAAGATCGTAGTATGGTCTGAAAAAACCCTATATGGAAGACATCGAGCGTATCTGAGCCAGCCACACGTCGATAAAATTAAATCGAACGAATGGTTCAAATGAGGTGAACTGTTTCCCGAGACCGAGGGTTTTATGCTTGCCATACAGGATCAAATAGTACCAACTCGTAATTACATAAAATATATCATAAAAGACTCCAATCAGACTACTGACATGTGCAGACATTGCAACAATGCCTCTAAAACCATACAACATATTACAGGAGCATGTAAATCACTTACACAAACCGATTATAAACATCGTCATGACCAAGTCGCTGCAATCATACACCAAAATTTAGCATACAAATATAAATTCGTAGATAAGATGCAGCCATATTATAAGCATAAACCCGAAACAATATTAGAAAGTAAGAATC